CGTCTTGTCTCTGGGGATGACCCTCATTAGAGCCGTCGAATCACTGGAATAACGAGAGAGAGAGAGAGAGAGAGAGAGAGAGAGAGAGAGAGAGAGGAAGAGGAGAGGGAGAGAGAGAGAGAGGTGAGAAAACCTAGGGTCTTGCATACATGAGGCAGGCCCTCTACCATTAAGCTACACTTCAGCCATGATCATGTATTTTAAGTACATCTCATTTAAACTATTACCTTTTTAAAATATTTGAAACCATCTTGTGTGTGCAATTTATTGTACGTGGATAAAATATAAGATTAATTAAACTTTGGCTTGTGAAAGTCTTTGTGTGCAGCAAACAAAAATGGAAATGAGCATCTCTTTGTCTCTGTTGTCCTCTGGCTCTTGTCACTTAAACTGTGGTCACTCCCCAGTGTGGGTGGTGAGCTAAGGGGTATGCAAATCAGATGTTCTGTGCAGTGAGAGAAGGAGCCTAAAGCAGGCTATGATCTCACAGACCCAGTGAGCAAAGGCCTGGGATGGGAGTCTATTCAGAATCCCACTCTTGATGGAGGCTTAATTCATCCCCTCTGTTCCTTCCCCCACTCAATCTGGTGTTGGTCTGTTCCAGGCTAAGTGTAGGAGGGTGGGGTGGCTGTCTGTTCACCGCACAGACGCCTTCTGAATGCGGAAGATGGGATCCCATGGATGCTTCCGGGACTGGAGATCCCAGCCAGGTCTTAAAGAACTTGGGGCTTGGAAAGCAGATCATGGCCTACCCTACCCATTCTGCTCCCGGATTCCTCCTTGTTTGGCTTGTTCCTTGCCACTCTGTCTCCTGGGAAAGATTTTGTCTTTCATTTCCCAGGACCATTCACAGTGCCCCAGCTCAGCACCGTGTCGTGGCAATACCGTGTTTCCGTTGGGCACACTGATCAGCCAGTAGGTCAATCTTGGTCCTCATAAAATCCATCCCCAAAGGAACATGGTTCTTCTGTCTCCTTTTTAGATCCCTATAGCCATTTGTGATTCCCATGGCCTGCATTGGTTCATTCCACATTGTGTAACTCTGGTAGTCACCTTTATTTTCCATTCCTGCAATACTCAAAGACTGCCAGGTCTGACACCCAACCTCTAGCAACTGTGGAAAGGTGTTCATGTGGTGCTCGCTCAGAAAGGCTTTACGGTGGAAAGCAGCAGCGGAAGTCCAATCCACTCCATGCTCTGCTTCCGAAGTGGGCAGCATCTCCTGGTGTCAAGCATCCCCCTTCTGTCCATCACTGCTCAGCTTGAGATATGTTCCTTCCATCTACAAGTTAAAGCAAGCTCAAGCTGGTTCTTGGCAGCAATCTGGGTTTCTCTTGCCCCTGGCAGGGAATTAGTAACCCAAGCACAGCTTCCCCAAGCAGAGCTGCACAGTGGAGCCTCCCAGATGCCAGAGAGCACAGGGTCCCAGCCTGCCTGATCCTCTTCAAGACACCTATCTGTTCCTGGTCCTCAGGGCTCACAGTGTGCAGTCAGGAATGACACGTCTGTAGTGATTGTTTTTGGAGCAAAGGCAAGTTTGCTCTCTCTACAGCCTGAAGAGAAGTCAGGCCAGCAGCACCCATGAGAACACTGGACCAACAAGAAGCAGAAGAGACCTGCAGCAGAGGAACCCGCTAAGGAGCCCAGATGTGCAGAGCCTCATCACGTGTTCCTTAAGAAACCCCTGGCAATCAGTGCCACCCACGGGCACCAGGTGCCAGCAAACACGCCCAAACCTCTGGCCTCATGTCTCGAGAGAAAAGATCATCTGTCATTTGCAGACACTCCTGACAACAGATTTCAGAGATGACTCTTAACAGATAACTGTGGTGCACGATCCCCCACCTAGGAACTGCTGGAAGGCTTAATTATGGGGGCCACTTCCTTGGGGGCACACTAAAATGTGCTAAATTGAACTGTTTTCACCAGCTGCCTGGCCTCCTGTGAAACTGCGCTGCAAGCTGCCCTTGCCTCTGTTTGCAAAAATATCAGTTCAGCTTGATGGAGGTATCCAAGAAAAAAAAGGAAAAAAAAGTTCAGGAAAAAAAAAAAAAAGAACGTACACAGAGTGAGATTTCTTAGTAATTCTTTATCTTTTTCCTCTTTGAGGAATGGGTCATGAGACTGTAATTGTGAATCATCTCACAGTTAATTCTTGAGCTAGGCCATCCGATTAGAACAAACGCTTCCTTTCTGGTTTAGTTATCCAGGATGATGCTCTGCGAGTTCATTTGTAGAAAGTAAGTGTTCATTAAACAGGGTTTGGATCGGCTTCAGCTTGCTGGAAAAGCCATGCAAAGGTATCGCTCCCTTGATGTCTCTGGTCCCTTAACCCCTTCTGCGCCAGCGTGAATTTCTCGGTGGTCTCCTGGAGCTGTGGATGGACAGCCTCGTGTGTCATCTTCCACCCTGTTAGCATTCTGTGGTCCTTCTCCAGGCCACTGGGAGCAGAAAGTCAAGTGTGGGTGGAGGGGTGTGATGAAGGACACCCCGACTGTAGACAAACAGACTTCTGGGTTACCCCACGCCTTAAAAGTCTCACCACTTGGAATGGGGACATCTCAGAGCCTGCTGGAGATTCTGGATGTCAGGCAAAGGGTGTGGCTCAGCCGGTAGGGTGTCTGCCTGGCATGCCCAAGGTCTACGGTTTGATCCTTGGTGCCACATAGCCTGGCTATGGTGTGGTTTGCCTGTAATACAGAACTTCAGAGTCAGAGATGGGGAGATCTTAAGTTCAGGGTCATTTTCAGCTACGTTCTCGGCTCTGTTCCACCCAGAGCCTTTGTTTATCCTAACCACATATGGGAGAGAATGTCTATGGGACACAGATAAGGCCTGCAGATTGACCCTGTGCTACTGAGGGAGAAGGAAATCAGAAAGCCAGTGAAGAAGGGGGCTTGGCCTCTATTCCAATCATGATAATGGGCATCAGGTTGGGGTGGTTGGGGGGTCATACCAGACACGAGGCCCATCTATGCAGCATTGGCTTCGCTGGGGAAACTTCCCCGCCAGCGTGTATCCATGATGAAGACCGTTAAAGCAATCTTTGCATTTTTCTCCTTATTTGTTTTCTCAGAGAGTCAGACGAAAAGTGCCCATTACAGCACGGAGCTAGGGAACAACAGAATTTAAACACTGCCCTTCCTTCCCAGACCAATAAACTGGCTGTGCTGACATGGTTGGTACCCTGGTCCCTTTGCTGCCCTGGTGCTAGGCAGGGACTTCTGCCTTTACTACACTTACTCTTCTGTCCACTGGCGGCCTGTGGTATCTGTGCTCGAGCCCAGCTCCCAGGGTGTGAGTGAGAGGTTACTTACGGGAGCATGGGCCACTCTGATGCAGCTACATCCCCCAGATGAGAGGACTCAACGCTGCACCCCTGGGTATATACACGCACACGTGAGGGCTAGGGTTGTTATCTGCTGTCTTTTCCAATCTCTCTCTGCATCATCATCACTGTCATCACCATCATCATCACCATCATCATCAGAGATCCGTTACCTTGCTGAACCTGGAGCTTGCCAGTTTGGCTGCACTGGATGGCCAGTGAGCAGGAGGGATTCACCTCTGTTCCCGTCTCCAGTGCAGGGGTGACTAGCTGTGACTCGAGGGTCTAGATTATCTTTTTAAATTTCATTATTGTATGTGTTTGAGTATTTTGCCTGGATGTGTGTCTGTGCACCACATGTATACAGTGCCCTCAGAGGCCAGAAGAGGGCATTGGAACTAGAGTTATGGCTGGTTGTGAGCTGCTATATGGGTGATGGGAATTGAACCCTGGTCCTCTAGAAGAGCAGCCAGCTCTTAATCACTGAGTTATCTGGGCAGCTCCGGAGTCCAGCCTTTGAAAAACGTTTCTTTTGGTATTTCTCTAGTTTTCCTGCTACAGAGCTGTGTGCAACACACCAGTCTACAGGCCGGGACCAACTCAGAGTTCTTCATGCACCTTGGCTTTAAGTCCCTGTCAGATGGGTAGTTTGATTTTCTCTCCTGTTCTAGGCTGTCTCTTCCGCCTGCCCACCATTTCCTTCCTTAGTGGGATGAACTGCCATTTTCTTGTCTTGGTGTTTGTTGTCTGGGCTTTTGAAGTTGTAACCTCCAAAGCAAAACAAAACAGCAGAGCGACTTCCCGTGTTCTGACAGCAGGGAACTGTCCTTCGTGAATTCTTCTCACAGCCCCATGCCTTTGGGGCACAATGCAACCCTAATGAGCAAAAGAAGTTTGAAGGAGAAGGAAAGACTTCATGTGTGTGTGAAAATGCACACATGTGTTTTCATCTGTGTAAACTTGCACACACAGTTATGAGTGCATGTTGTGTGTGCATGTAAACATGTGTGCTCCCGTGTTTGTGGGTAGGGAGCAGGGGATGAGGTAAAAACTTTTATCCTGGCTACCTCGATGGGACAAGGAGTGACAACACAGCTGGGTTTGAATGGCTCACTTTGTGTCCATTATCATCCAGCATAGAATAACAAGAGCAGAGCAAATTTGTGACTCAAATGGAAAAATTTTTCTAATCTATGTAGTTGCGGGGCCTACATCTTAAGTGCAGACCAGAATGGAGGGTGGCATGTTACATCTATATTGTATTCCATTGCTGGTTGTTCTTGTTCTGTGCACTGTGGTAGTGACTGTCTCTCTTGATTGCCCACGAATTCTATTCTGTCCATGAACTGGAGACCTGAGTCTACTACCAGGGACAGTGGGAGTGAGAGAAGACAGTGCCAGCTCTTCTTTCTCAACAGCCACAAGCGTTGTCATGTCAAATGATGAAAATATTTTGTTTTTCCACATAGCTTGGGGGCTTCCCATCCTGGCAGAGATGATGCAGACACCAGAGCACTCTGGCTGCCTTGGAATTTGAACAGACTGGCTAAGAATGGAGTCCTCAAGACCAGGCAAGCTGCTCCCATTCAAATGAGTCAGCCCTCAAGACCAGGCGAGCTGCTCCCATTCAAATGAGTCAGCTCTTCACTCTTTTTCTGTCTTTTTTTTTTTT